ACCTGTACCGCATATCTTTGGACTGTAGGGGAAACCGGAGCACCCGGAGGAAACCCACGCGAAGGCAGTGAGAACATGCAAACTCCACACAGAAACACCAACTGAGCCGAGGTTCGAACCAGCGACCCAGCGACCTTCTTGCTGTGAGGCGACAACACTACCTACTGCGCCACTGCCTCGCCAAACTAAATTATTATTAATTATAAATCAAATTAATTAAATTAATCCAAATTAAAACTGCCAATTTTTTCTGCTCTAGGGTTCCTAGGGTATGTGTAATAGTTTTTTATTTACATTTTTTAAGGACAACAGTATCTCTTGCAGAAAAGATATTCAAAGATAGCATTTTAAATTGTAAAGAAATCAGTTTTTTAACAAATGAAGACAGCAGAAGTCGATGATTTAATTATTGAATTATTTAGCCTGCCACTGTTTACATGTTTACTGTTCCAAAATATTTTAAATGTTTCTCAAAATAAAATATATTGTGTTTAAAGTGGAAAATATTTTTGTTTTTTACTCAGACATTTAAAAAGAATATATTTAAGAGCAGTAACCAAAATATTAGGAAACTGAGAAAACGTGATATTTGTATCCAAGGTTATCATTCCATCCGAATCTTGTACCGGCCCATGCCTAGACCAGTTGGCATTTCATTGTCGAGTTTGCGTGTTCTCCTGATGCTCCAGTTTTCCCCACAGCCCAAAGACATGTGCTACAGGTAAACTGGATGAACTAGATTGGCTGTACTGTATGTGTTTGTGTGTGTGAGTGTGTGTGTGTGTGTGTGTGTGTGTGTGTGTGTGTGTGTGTGTGTGTGTGTGTGTGTGTGTGTGTGTGTGTGTGTGTGTGTGTGTGTGTGTGTGTGTGTGTGTGTGTGTGTGTGTGTGTGTGTGTGTGTGTGTGTGAATGAGAGATTGTATGGGAGTTGTGGCCGGAAGGGTATCTGTTGTGTAAAACATACCAGAGTTGTTGGCAGTTCATTCCGCTGTGGCGACCTCTGATAAATCAGGGACTAAGTCAAAAGGAAAAGTAATAAATTACTTATGAGTAACTTAAAAAAATTAAGGCAGCAGCATTTTTATAAAGTGAGGCTTGTCGAAAATATGAGTATTACTAAAACAATGAGTGTAAAACAAGCAAGCTTGTAAGAGTTGTTTGAATAAACTATTTGGCTTTTTCTCTGTTTATAATGGTCTCGTTCCTGTTTGCTGTTTTTTCAACCATAGTCTGACAACTCAAGTGAGTCACAGTTTGTACCTCGGTCTATTTCCCTGTTATTTCTCACTCTAGGTAGTTGGTTATTGCGAGCATAAAGTAGTGATGTGCTTGAAAACATCACTAGCCAATTGTTGTACTTTCTGCTTAAGACTGCAGTCTTCATGCAGTGTTTGTAAAAATGCATTTTTCATTCTTCGGTTATTCACCCTATTCTTCACCGACGAGCGGGTGCAGCCATTTGAATCTTTTTGGCTCGAGACTTCCTGTCTCATTCACTTCCATTCATTTTTGTACTTTAAAAACTGCTTGTTTCGCTGTTTGATGTCGCAAACTCATATTTACCTTATTATATTATGCTACTTGGTCTATATAGTCATGCAAACATTTGTTTGTAGAGCAAGTAGTTTGACCGATTTCTGCCATTAATTATTCCTAATTATTTCTCCCATAGGCGACTGAATCGGAACTTCTAAGACAATTGCAAAAACATGCGCACTTCCGCATTTTAGAATAAGGTTAATACTATTATTGCAAATGTATGTGGACCAGATGAGTTGTTAAGCTTGTTGACACAGGGGCACTGGCCCTAGAATCACCACTGACTGTGGGTTCACACAAGTTAGTGCACTTTCAGAGCTGGGTTGTGTAATCAGTGATTCATTCTGCTGTGGTGACTCCAGATAAAAAAAGAGAATAAGCTGGAGAAAAGCAAGTGATAAATCATGATTTACTTCTATAAAGACACTTTTTGCTGAAACATTCTGAGAAACACAAATGAGTCAAAAATCAGAACACTTTGTCTTTTTTCCATGTGTACGACTCTTTCTTAGTATTGTCAGGTGGCACGTCAACAGGACATCTTGCTCATTCTCAAAATTTATAGGTTGTTTGAAATGCATACAAACTATATTAAAATACTGACCAGGGATGAAGTAAAAATACTAGCAATATGTCTTCTTGTGTGCCTGCCAACCTTTGCTTCCCTTTGTTTACTTTTTGGGGTACTTTTACTTTGGGATTCGGTAACACTTTAGAATAACTACTCGTTATAACTAGTTAATAGATCATCATTAAACTTTTAGTTAATAGGTTATAAATGACTTTTTAAATAAAAGTTAATAGTTTGTTAATTATTTATAACTTTGCCTTATAGATAGCCAATAGATAACTTAAAAGCTGTTAGTTACAAATTATAAATGACTTGTTAACTGTATTGTAATGATTTATAACTATACATAATGAATTAGTTGTAGATCATAAACAAGATGTTGGTAAATTACTTACTAAAGACTTGTTCATTATCAGTTAATAGTTCATATATGTTATTAGGACGTTATTCTAAAGTTGCAACTATTCTTCATTTATTAACTGCTAGTAAACGAGGAATAGTTGCAACTAGAATAACGTCCTAATAACATACTTAAGCTGTTATCTAACACTTAATATATTAGCAAACACTTTACAGATCAGTTGTTCATAGTTTGTTAACCATCTACTAATACCAGTGAAACTTTGTAGAACAGCAAATGGATGGAACAAGTTTAAGCCACAGAAATTTGATGTGATATTAAAAATATAAAATGTTTGTACCTTAACGTTGTTCCACTTATTTTCTGTGTGCTGTATTTTACCAAAGAAACTCCACATACGGAATGTTGAACATTGTGTTTAATCTATAGAAACACACATACTGAGCCATCACATAGCAGAACAGCAGTATACAACATGAGGTTTGGGCACTGTTTGTGCTAAACATAAAAATAAAATAAATAAAAATGTATTTTATTAGAAAAGTTCTACAAAGTTCACTGGTATTAGTAGATAGTTAACAAACTATGAACAACTGATCTGTAAAGTGTGAGTTAATCAATTAATTAAGTGTTAGTCATAGCTCATGTATGTTATTGGGACGTTATTCTAGTTGCAACTATTCCTCATTTACTAACATTTAATAAATGAAGAATAGTTGCAACTTTAAAATAACTTCCCAATAACATATATAAACTAATAACTGATATTTAACAAGTCTTTAGTAAGTAATTTACCAACATCTTGTTCATGATCTATTACTATTGTATTAGGTATAGCCATAAATCGTTAAAATACAGTTAACAAGTCATTTATAACTTGTTAAATAACAGCTTGTAAGTTATCTATTGGCTATCTACAAGGCACAGCTATTTACAATTAACAAACTATGAACTTTTATTTAACAAGTCATTTATAACTCATTAACTAACAAATCAGTTAACTAGTTATAACAAATAGTTATTCTAAAGTGTTAAAAGCAGTTTATGAAATCAGTTTAATGACACATCTGGTCAATTGGTGATATGGATGTTACCACAATTGTGTGTTAAAAGGAACCTAAAAGGCTGCAATGTATAATGTGTTGCCCATGATCCAGAGCAACTAAACCAAAGCACCCCTTAACACTTTTAAAAAATCCAATGTGTTTTCAGTGAAAGGTTGTGGTAACAATTTTGACCTTTTTCAAAATAATCCTTGGGTATAGTACTTTTTTTTTTTTTTTTTTTTTTTTTTAGAATATTTGCTCAGAGTGAGCACACATAACTTTCAGTAAACCGAATCTTGTTAGTGAGACGAAAGTGGCTTCATTTCCTATAACTTAAAGTTGAGATAACTGGCCCCACTTTATACTCAGTGGCATTAATTAATATGTACATACATTTAAATGAATAATTTAGTACAATGTACTTATTGTGAAGACATATTTTACATTGTACTGATATTTAAAAATAGATCTGCTTGTAATCATTTTTTGTTGTTACATTTGTAATTACAATGTTGACCCATCCCTTACCTTAACCCAACTTTAATCCTACACATAACCCCTAACCTGTCCCTTAACTTACCCATATCCAACTTCAAGAGCACCAGCAATACTGTATGAGCACAATACGTACATTGTATGTATTTATTCTAATGTAAGTATATAGTAAGTAAGAATACATAATATAAGGCTTGGACTGGTAACAGATTTTACCAAAGATTTATAGACAGACATTTTTCTAAGATAAGCATTATTTCAAAACTAATTCATGTTGTAAAATTAGAAAAAAATAAAAAATAAATAAATTAACACTTTACAATATGTGCCATGTACTAGTTAATGTATTTATTGTTAATGTACTTTACATGAACAGACAATGTGCAATATGTTTGTTACAATATTTATTCAGGTTTGTTAACATTAGTTAATGAAAAAACAGTTGTTCATTGTTAACACACTGTGCACTGATCAGTCTTAACAACTTAAAAGGCACAATGTTGGATATCAATAATGCATCAGTAAATTGTCACCTTAGAATTATCAGATTTTATCTGACATTTTTGTCAAAAGTTATTGACATATACTTAATAAATGACAACTTATTTACATTATGGGATTTTTTTATTATTATTTAAAAAATACTTTTATTTAAAAAAAAAAAGTTACACACATACTGTTTGCTATATGGAATGCAAAAACCTTGAAGCTAGCACAGAGAGCACAGATAGAACCTTATAATTCCAAGGTGACGAAATGTTGAGCTATGATCAACAAATACTTTTAAGGCATTATTCTCGTTGAACATGAACTGATGTTAACCACGTGTCCTCTATTGTCAAGTTTTACCAAAAAAAGTTATTATTAGAAATATTATTTCAGGCTTTTATAAGTAAAGTGACTGTTTTCTAATGGTAACAAATCATAACACTTCATCTTCTTTTTTTTTCCATGTGTCCCCTAACATCCTCTTTCTCAATGTTTTCAGGTGGCACAGCTGCAGGACAGCAGGTGCCGAGTTGTCCGCCAGTGTCTGAAAACAGCAGCGCGGCTCACAGTATCGGCAGCACACAGAGCACACCGTGTTCAAGCAGCAGCAACGCGTAGAACAGCTGGACTGACTTCTGCTTGCAGTGCCATTTGTGGAAGAACATGTGAATAAGTAGCACAACAGGCCTTTTTATTTTCATTATTTGAACTGAAATGTTTAGGCTGAGTATACAGTCCCGTTGAAATAAGCTACATTTACAGATGAGGGAAGAAACAAAGTTGAGATTTTTTTTTTTCTTGAACTCCACAAGAGAGCTGTTTTTGCCTTAAATGGTTGAGATCAGTGTGAAATTAACAAAGGCTGTTTACAGCAGTCATTATGGCTCGAAGGCAGTCTCCAGCAACAGTTAGTACTGTGAGGTTACATAAGGGCTCTGTCTGGCTGTAAACAGAGATGCCTTGCCAAATCAAGTATACTTATATGGGTCAAAGACAAGACGTCCCGTTTTGGTATATATGCATCAAAATCATTTATAGATGGTTTAAAGCATGTTCAATGCAAGTGAAGTGTCTACTACAAAGTTTTGAATAACTTTAGTGAAAATGCAATCTTTAAAAATTGTGTCATTCAGCATTATCCTTTACATTGTAAAAAATGCTGGCTTCCACACAATTCATTTGTGTTAGGAAAACATGAAGGAATTAAGTTAACTTGTTAGTTTTTTTCAAATGTATGTAGATTGAACTTAAAACAATTAAGTTTCCCCCTAAAAAACTCAAGAACTGTGTTGTTTAATGTCAATTTAAATACGTAGTTTTATCAAAAAGCAATTTTTTTTTATAGTGTGTAATGAATACAAAACAAACAAACATTTTTTTTTTGCTTTAAAACAGGGGTCTCAAACTGCATTTGCATCATCTGGCCTGCAACTGACATCAGAAATATAACGAAATTCGGCCCAACAAAACTTTTTAATCACTACCATTGTATAGTGTCGCAAAAAGCCACTTGTGGTTTTGACCCCCACCTACTGGGCATTTAAAGTACTGCACTTTATATTCAGGATACTTTTGGTTTCTCTTAGCATGTGGTCAGGAGTTATGAACATGCAGATTATATCTGGAGCTGATTTAAACGTTGAAATATATGTCCATAAGAGCTCTATTTTTACTAAAGCTCTATTTTTGTAAATATTCAAGGGTCATTTGATTATAATCCGTTTTATATCACCTGTATTGTGTTGTACAAACACATCTCCATAGCTTACACATTATGCTGGTGGTGTAAATATGATAATTTTGCTAATATTCAAATTAAATAGTCTCATTTAATAGATTTTCCTCATATGCATATTAAGATTTGTATAAGAATGTGCATTTGTAAAATTTGACTGCTGACTGAATTGAACATGTTCAAGTTTTACAAAAAAAAGAAAGATATTGAGAAGAACAATTGCTAGTAAAGTCACTAAAGTTACCCAGTCTGCTTTCTGCTGTTCTTGCTATATTTGTTAAACTTCTGCTTATAAGCAACAATTGATTGAGACAGAAAAAATATAGTTATTATTATGCCTATTATTATATTGAAGTATTTTCATAGCAATTTAAACTGCCCCTTTAATATGCACATTAAGAAAGAAAAAGATGAAGCTTTGACTGCATATACGCTGGGGAAGAATGTCTGAGAGCATCAATTACATCAGGTTTCCACTTTTTGTTGTGCTTGAATGTTAAAGCGGCCCTCCCAATTGTCAGTCACTGACAGTTTGAGACCTCTGCTTTAAAAGCTGCTGTTACACTGAATAATATTTTAATGGGGATCTGTTGTGATCTTGAGAAAACATTTTCCATTGCTATTACTTTTTTTGCTAAAAAATGGAGTTAAACAGGACACGTTCTAATGTATATAAAAATGAGTAACACTTATAAAATAGTTAATGAATTTACAAACATGAACAAAGAACGAACTATACATATATTACAGGATTATTTTTTAACATTTTAACAGTTCTTGTTAATAATCAATAAAGCCTGTACTTTTATTATTTATTCTTAGTTCATGGTGGTAAACACATTAGCTAATCTTTACTAATGGGACCGTATTATAAAATCAAACACAAAAAAATCAGTTAAAACTGTATTAACTTTAATTTTTGATGTAATATATTTTCATCTTTGACCCATATAAAATATTTGACTAGATATGAACAGAATATGTTTATCTTTTTTTTTTTTTTTGGTAAATGTTAAAAAGGTCAGTTTGTCCATATGTGACTCTACGTAATGGTATGCTGCATTGTTCATAATTCATACTATAAGTTTTATCTGCATGATGGCTCCGCAGTCTTCAGCATTCACGTTTTGTAAAAAAAAACTTTTTGGCAGTCTTTGGAATATTGTAAAATAATGTATATTCTGTGAATATTGTATGAAATTCATAGAGATTTAAAGTGGAATTAACTCCAAAAAGAAAAACTTTAGCTAAAACCAAATATTTATCAGAGGTTTAATAAATGTGTTAAAATGGAACATCATACATTTACACATACATGCACAAGCTCTTTCCCTCAAATGGAAAGTCACAATAAAATAATAGACAAAAATGTGTGTATAAAAATGTAGATAGCATTTGCTTTTAAATATGATGTTATTTTTATTCTCCCAAATGTTGATGTGTGCCACTATCAGAGTCTCTGTCATTTTACAAATGAATAGAATATAAAAATATAACATCAAAAATGGACTAATAGATTGTATAGAATGTGATTTTTAAAATGCTGGGCATTAATATTCAACATTAGTCTAAAAAGTAGTCATTTTAGCATTTACATTTTGATATTTTTTCTTAAGTTACTGAAATCAAAGGCAAGTTTGTTAAGAATGATTTAAACCATCTCAAAAGATGTACATAATCTGATGCCAAAAGAATGGCCGTTCATTTTCCAGCCTTTAAATATTACTGCAGCCCTGCGGTGTACATGTTTAGGTACTAACCTACCACTAAAGTGAACACAAAATCAACATTTCTCTAAAATATCATGACGCTTTTTTGGAATTCTGCTGTGAATGTGCAGAAGTTAACATTTTGGCATTTTGATAAAACATACGTACAGACTTTTACTGCTAAGAGAAATGTTTGAGTGCAAACAAAGCCAGAGCAATCCCACCGTCAAAACTTTAAATGAATGTCATAACATTGCGAGTGCCTTAACTTTAAGTATAAGCATTTTATATACTTACAAAAAAAAATTAAATTAATGAGGCAAGAAGGGAAGTGGGCTTTGCTACGCTTTAAGCACAGTTTAAACCCACTGATGTGAAAATCCGCCAAATATATGCATTTAGTTGTTTGTTTTTAGCATCTAATGTTGTTTGTGTGTGTATGTTTGTGTATGTGTGTGTGTTGCTTGCTACAGACTGTACTTATAGAATGTACTTTATTTCAACCCTCTATTTCTTTGTAAACTTGTATAAATATCTCCTGTAAGAGGAAAGAGAGTGAGAATTGAAACATTTATTTGTGTATAAAGTTATATATTTTTTCCAGAGATCTATATACATAGAGCTACCCTATAATTCTATCTGCATACTGTGAATTTTTGTGGGCATATTTCTATAAATGTTGTGTTTTCTCTAAATCCAAACATAGTCCTTGATGCTGAAGTGAGCTGCATTCACTTATATTGGCCTGAAATAATCAATTAAAGTGAGATATTTTATTATAGATATGTATATTTTTACAAGTAACTTTCATATGAGAACACTATATTATTTGGAATACAAAATATATTTTGGTTTTATCTCTCTTTTAAGCTCTTTGTTGTTTAAGTGTCTGCGTGTGTGTTTCGTCACACTGTAAGCTCTGTGTATTTTTTAAGTGAATGAATGAATGAAAATTCTTAAATCATGAAGCATGTTCAGATAAGTGAAAAGTATTGTTTTAATTTCAGATATAATGAGTTAAAACATTAAATTGAAAGCACAATAATTGGATAACACTTTAACTACACTATAAATCATTTATTAAGCATTATCAAATAGTTAAATCATTATATCTTTAGCATTAACTTTACATTAATAGATGTTAGTAAGCAGTTTATAACTGCAGATACAAATACGCTAATATTTACTTATAAGCACATTTATAATGCGCTTAATTATTGGAATTTCCTACTTTATAATTATTATTTTTTATTATTACTAAATGAAGTATTGCATCATTTACAAACCAGTTTTTTTTGAGAGTTGCTGGTTTTTAAGATCATTCAGAATGCGGAAGTAAATGATTAATAAACTATTAAAATTAACATTTATAATTCTTATTATTCAGTATGATGATAATAAATGGTTTATTAAGTCTAAATTAACTTTATCCAGTTCCGTGACCTAATGTAGTGTTTTATGCTTCATAAATCCCTTATAAAAAATCCCTTTTTATTTTAAACAGGGAAAAATAATAATAAAAATGACTTTATTTATTTCTATTCATTTGACGATACACAAATTACACTGTATCAAATAAAAAATAAAACTTGCCAATCTTAACTAAAACAAAAATTACTGCGCAGTTTAAGCATTGCTAAATAACAGAAATGCTGCATCATAATATATTGTTAAATTATTTTATTGTTGTTGTTGTTTTATACCAATTCCGGCAATGTTTAACCTTTACAGTAGTTTGACTTTTTTCTAGGTACGATTGGAAAGATTTATCGTTCATTTAATACTAAGCCTTTGTCATTTATTGGGGATTTATAAAGCATAAGTCCTCACTTTAGATTAGCTCACAAAACTGAATGAAGTTGAGTTAATAAAGCATTTGTTAACATACATTTTAACTATTAATATATGCCTAAATAATAAATTATAAATGTTGAATTGAATAGTTTATTAATCATTTACTTATGCATTCTGAATGATCTTTAAAAAAAACAACTACTCTTAAATACAAATGATATGTAAAGAATGTGATACTTAATTTAGTCGTGAAAAATGAATCAGTGACAAAGTAACAATTATTAAGCACATTTTAAATGTGCTGACAAGTCAAGAATAGAGCATTTGTATCTGTAGTTATAAACTGCTTGTTAACTTCTATTAATATAGAGTTAATGCTTAACATATAATGAATTTATTTTCTAAAGCTTAATAAATGACTCATAGTGTGTAGTTACTATAAAGTGTTA